AGTCCACAGGTCTTAAAGTTGCCAAGGTTGGAGACCACTGCTTTATATCATGGATGATGACCAAAATCCAAATGTTGTATATTGAAATAATCTATTGAAAAATACAACTATAAAAGTCCTGAATGTTTGCACTGCATAAATTCCATGGACTCGTGTTTGTCTCTGATTTGCAATATTTTGGCAAGAAATATTTAGGAAAGAAGCTTCAGCAATAAATATTTATGGTACACTGAATATATTAACCAGGCAGATATGTATAATATTAAAAGTATTTTGCTGAAGTCAACAAAATGTACTTGTGTTTATTTTAGAGTCTTCTGTGTCTAACAACACTAGGCCTTGCAAAAGATGGACAACACCATTTGGCATTGCAAGCTCTCTTATGTCTAGAGCAACTGTGTGTTTTCTTAAGGAACAGACTGAACTTCCATAGAGATCCAAGTTTTGTCTCAAGTGATACAGGTCTGCATATAGCTCATCAGGATAACCTGAAGTCTGTTTTATTCACTGTGAACTTAATGATTTCTTCTCCCCCACCCTCCCCTGTTTTAAGTAAGATGTAGAAGTGTATTGCTCAAATGGCTTTTACTATGGGAGGTTTAAAAAAAAAGTTGTGGAGAAGAGTGTGAGGATTCAAATTCAATTTACTTCCTGTGGCTAAGGAGTCTGTTCTATCTAAAAATGCTAATAAGAAAATGAAATGGTGGCTTGTAACAGTTAAAATAGTGAAAAGAAAATAGCAGTGTTGGGAAGTAATCGTTTCAAGCAGTTTAATAATGGAATTATAAATATTATCTCCAGGATACCATATATTATCCAATGGAACCTGGATCTGTCTTTATTTTAGCTTTTTTTTTCAGGATTTCCTACACAAATGACAGAGTGACAAGTGGTTCTGGGTATGTTGATTATACAGGTAGTCCTCAACTTACAACCACCGTTGAGACAGTTGCTACATGAATTTTGCCCCATTTTATGACCTTCCTTTCCACAGTTGTTAAGTGAATCACTGCAGTTGTTAAGTTAGTAACAGGGTTATTAAGTAAATCCGGTTTCCCCATTGGCTTTGCTTGTCAGAAGATCACAAAGAGGATTATANCCCTTACCTTAACTTAAATCGCGCTTCCCTTATCTTAACTTAAATCGTGCTTCCCTTACCTTAACTTAAATCACGCTTTTGTGGGCGCGGTTTTGTCGGCGTGTTGTTGGTGCATTTATGACATTGCAGTTTTCTCGCCACAGTTTTGTCGCCGTGGTTTTTTCGTGCGCGCATTTGTCGGGTCACTAAATAAATAAATGTGAGTACCTATATGATTTTTAAATACCGTACCATATTGGCAATGCCCCTTTTAAAAGTCATGTTTAAAATGATCCTTGACCTCTATTTTCACTTAATTGACTAGAGGCTAGAGAACCATGTGTAACATTCATTCATCATTATGCCAATGCCATTACTTTATATTCCCATCTGCATTATCCAGCTGTTTTTTTCTTGTAGTATTTGGATTGCAAATTTGCTGAAATGAATTATTGTAAATTTACATCAGGATGTGAATGCAATTTGTCTGAAAACATGTAAGCAATCATGCACATTTGAGAAAATGTCTAGGTGAAGCAAATTCATAGGATGCTTTCTTTATTTAGACCAACTAAAGCATCAAATTTGTATAATCACCCAGCTATCAAAATGTAATCTGTTAATGTAATTTTAAATTGCATTTAATAAGTAAGAAGCATGATATTCAATGCTAACTTTTACTCCAATCTTATTATATTGTGATTTCCAAGGTTACTTAGACATTTTAAAGAAATACAACTTAATTAGATCAAAAATATTTTCTAATGAGAATGAAACACAGAAAGAAGAATCTTCCCAATAAATCATCATTAAAACATCAATTGTCAATGCAAATTTAATGTGTTGAAGTAGACTGAACACTACAATACACTGGACATTAATTTACAATTTTATATTTAGAAAAACTATAATACCTAGACATTCTTAGTGGAAAATCACCATAACTTACAATTTATAAGAGGTAGCATGCAAACCTTGAAAGAAAGTTGAAAGAAATCATTTCCAAAGCTAAAATTTCCTAAATACAAAATTGTTATAGAAAAGAAAAAAATGAGCCAAGCTTTAGGTAGTTTTTGACTTACTAACATTCATTTAGTGACCATTTGAAGTTACAAGGGTACTAAAAAAGTGAACTGTGACCTTTTTTCACACTTACTATCATTGCAGCAACCCCATGGTCATGTGATCAAAATTCAGACAATTGACAACTTGCATACATTTATGGCAATTACAGTATCCCAGGGCCATGTGATCATCCTTTGCATCCTTCTGATGAGCAAAGTCAGATTCACTTAACAACTGTGTTACTAACTTAGCAACTGCACTGATTCATTTAACAATTGTATCATAAAATGGGGCAAAATTCACAACAATAAAAATGTTGGGCTCAATCATGGTTGTAAACCAACGACATACTGTACAAAAAACCCCTACAAAGGTAGAATGGATAAACATATATAAAAAGGCTATTCAATTATAATGTTGCAAGGTCTACTGGTATCTTTTGATATCTTCAAAAATAATTATTTTCAAAACATGCATCTAAAATTCCATCAGTGTAATTTCATATTCTTCAATGTTTAGGTCCCCAAGAAATAAAAATGTGGGGATTCTTTCTGATAAGGAAAACAAGAATTTGTGCAAATTTCACTTTCACTGTTATGTCTTTTTTTATTATTTCAAATATCCACATGTTGTTTCATTTCAAGACTCTTTATCATGCCAGGAATATGAATACAAGTAAGTAATATAATAATTTCACTGTAACATTCTCAATGCATGGACTATAAAAGTTATCATATGAAAATCCATTAAAACCACATGTAACTTTGTGTTTCAGGAAAGAATACAAAAGATAACTAGAAGTCTTGCATGGATTAGCCTAAAACTAAAATTAAAACATGTGGTGCTCTTTACCTACAATGTTTCCAGATGAGAGATTTAATAAGCTATCATCATGTCTTATGAAATTTTATAGACTATCAGAGTGGGTTGCTCCCGGTTTGGCCTGGATTGGACGAACCAGTAGTAGTGGCAGCAGGAGGCTCCGCCCACCCACCTGGACGCTTCTGCACATGCAGGAGCATGCACAAACTGGTAGTAAAGAAAATTGGCAACCCACCACTGGACTCTATATAACATCATTGTTATATTTTGTGTGTGTGTATCCCTTCCTATTTTTGTAAAGGATGAAGCCAGCAAAGCTGGAAGTCTGAAATCAAACAAACTTATTATTAGAACATTATAAAAGTTCCCTCAAAACCCAAAGCTGAAAAGCAGCAAAAGTATGGTGCCATGTAAGGAAGAAGACAGGCAGGATTTAAATCCTGAAGATGGATAAGACAGACAGTAACTCCTTTTATTTCAGTTACTATTATTTGAACCTCCTTATACAATATTTATTATAAATTCATAAGTGCATGTCTGTGTTTCCAGAGGAAAAAATTGTTGTGGCCAGTTTTTTCTATATTTTTCATGTATAATTTTAATGGGGATAAATTCATCAAAAGTATGAGTAGATGACAGTGCTGTCTTTCAGAACATTGGTGGGATGTAGTTATGTATACTATGGCTTTATGAAGAGTGTTTTAAGCATTATGCCTCCTAATTTTAGTTTGTCCATACCTGTATAATGTTGTTCCTTGTAACAACCTTTTATTTTGCATTATAAATAGGGCTAATGAAAGGGCTGCCATGGAACCAGCAAGAGATTTTCCATTTCCAGAAAATTTTTTAGGGTACACAAAAATAAAAAGTGCTAATGAAACAATATTCTATGATGGTGACACATGGAGTATTTGTGCAGTTCTCTATTTCCATGGGATCCCCAAGATAGCTGGAAAAATCATGTTTTAGGGGTTTTCCAGAAGACTGGTAGGGATAGGGCTAACTTTATTTTGAGGGAATGATATTCCAGAAGGCAAGAGCCACAACAGAAAAGGCATGTCTTCTGGATCCCATCAGATGGAGCTTTTTAGCAGACAGGACTCATAACATGCACTCCTCTTCCTGATCTGGTGGGGCAGGTAGTTGTAATTGGGAAGAGGTAGCCTTTCAAATAACGTGATCCCATGCTATGTATGGCTTTAAAAGGTATATGATTGATCACATACTTTTACCAGTAAGATGAATAATGCAACTGTAGAACTGAGGGATTAATGATCCAGCATCAACACTTGATGCCATTAGCTAGCCTCTTTAGCACTACTGAATCACATATCCACACACTGTGGATTAGGTTCCCATAAGCACTTCCTTGTATTAATGCAGATTCAGTTTATGTCTTTGTTCAAGGTTTTTGGAGTTGGAAGATAGGACAACTCATGGAAGCAAATCTATTAAGGTGATTTATGCAAATATATTTTGTCTTTGAAAAAGCAAGATAAATACAATGCTTATTTTAATACCAGCATACAAGGATTCATATTATACTTATTTTATCGAGGTGCTTTCAAAAGTTTTTAGGTGGTATTTTAAATATATTTAGAAGAACAATGTTCTATCATTACAATTTAAGTGTGTCATAATAGAATACATATTCAAATGTCTATCTCCTGGTGAAATACAAATTTCTAAGTTTTATCCTTGAGCTAAAAATTGGCATCTATTTTGTAATTACATTTATCTTACAAGGGCAGGATGTGTCATTGGCTAATTTCCCCCTGCTTCAATTTTAGTTTGGAGGATAACAGCAACTATTTTTCAGTAAGCAATGTTGCAACACTGAAATTGAGTTTTGAAAAAAAAATCAGATAAACAAAGAAATGAAGAACAAGCTGTTCTTTTAGAAATAATCATTTAACAGCAGTTTTAGTTTATGTGTGGATCTTTTGTTTCTGGTTCTGGGAATGGCATATGGACAATTCCTCTTACCCTTAGAGGTCAGATTCCATTATATGTGACTGCCACATTACAAATTAACAAACAATGCTATTTGTGAGCATTCACTACTCTTCTTTGTTAGTCATGCAAATGATTCTGCAGTGATGCTATTTCAGCTTTCTAAGATGATTGTTGTTTCAAAAACAAAATGTAAATAAAAATAAAAACCCAAAGCAGTTAAAGAGTATTAAATGTGAGCAAGGTAATATAATTCAACAATAGTAATGGGTAATTAAACATACAATGCCATATTTTTGTTCTATTATTATGTTGGAATATATTGCAATTGAAATTCAGAAATTAATTCTTGATTCTTGAATGTAAAATTCACAAAAGTGCAAAGAAAGCCTTATCCATCTGTAGCAAACAATTCTGCTCACATAATTTAGCCAATAAGACCCTGAAAGCATCAAATGAATTTCTATATTCTGGGGGAGTAAGCTATATAATTGGTATCTCACATCATCACAGCTTAATTATGGTTTGAAATACACTGCATTTA